TATAGAGTGGAACACAACAGATTCTAATGATGAATGGTTTAAAGAGTGGAAACCATAGATTCTAGAGATAAATGATGTATGGAGTGGAACACCACAGATTCTAATGATGAATGGTGTGTAGAGTGGAACACCACAAATTCTAGAGATGAATGGTGTAGAGTGGAACACCACAAATTCTAGAGATGAATGGTTTATAGAGTGGAACACCACAGATTCTAGAGATGAATGGTGTAGAGTGGAACACCACAAATTCTAGAGATGAATGGTTTATAGAGTGGAACACCACAAATTCTAGAGATGAATGGTTTATAGAATGGAACACCACAAATTCTAGAGATGAATGGTTTATAGAGTGGAACACTACAGATTATAGAGGTGAGTGGTGTATAGAGTGGAACACCACAAATTCTAGAGATTCAGGATAGTGATCGTCTATGAGAAGTGTGCTAACAGCACCTCCTTTTTTTTCCCTCATGAGGCAGTCAATATATACTTTGTGACCAGCTGTGAGGCTACTCGACTGGAATTGTCAGTACGTTTGAGAAATCCTGTGATGCTACGTCCAGTTGTATGGGCAGTCTGTGAATCTACACGTTACCCCCTGGATATAGATAAGTTTCGGTTGAGTCAATACAGGAAGACAGACTTTCTTGCTTCAAGTGATGGCCCTGGTGTGTGCATTGGTTGGGTTCCCCCATGATGAAATGTCAAAATAAGCTAGCTCGTCATCTCTCACATCTATTAAAAATATGTTCGGGTAATGAGAGCGAAAGAAATTGGTAATTTCTGTGATTGTGGTTGTCTCACTTTCTGCAGTATCAGCCTCATCGGATCTTTTAGCAAGGTAATTGACACCAGTGTGGTGTGGTGTTGAAACTGAAATTTGTATCAGTGTTCAACAGAGGGCCTACTGGTTCTCAGCAATATACGGCTAATTGTAACAAAATGAATAATACTTTGTGGCGAGTAGATCATTGTATAGGTATAGCACACTGCGCTAGGTTGGCTGTTAAAACATGAAGGAAAATGGACATTCAGTAGAAGCCTTGGGAAACTGCCTTGTCTAACACATTGGATATTGTACCACAGCCACCTTGCCGTGCATGACACTAAGCAAACTTTGAAAAACTTGGCATTTTCTAGTTCAACAATTGTAGTTACATGGCTCTGGTGTACCCCAACCAGAAACAGGAAGCCCATTAGTGTGTTAACTATGGTTTATCCATTCCCCTGCAAACTTTATGGGATGTCCTGGAATTCAAAAGCCTTCCGAAGATGTTCAGATCTCACTTGGTTCTGACCTAAGCGATCTGTTAACATGCATGACAGTCAAATACAGTCTCCATGGAAATGGTTTTGGCACCTGTGTTGGTAAATGATCGCAGTCAATGGATATCCACCCGTCTTGGGGTCCTCCTGGGACTCTTAAGAGTCAATATTAATTTGCAATTCCACCGACCTCAAAGCAGGTGTCGCAGCCTGTCTGATGCAGCACTATTCAATTGGTAGGCTGGTAAAACAGCATTAATCTACTTTAGTGAGCGTCCCAGGCATAACTGTGGTGGTGTTATTTCCTGCATTGATAGTCCCTTGTGAAACTATTTACCATGCCACAATGCAGCACAGCTTTCTTAAATAGTTGCCGCTACCACAGCAGCCAGATTCCAGTTTTGACATACTAAGCATGGATTATC